CCGACTCGACAGCACGACAAAATAAATAATATATATATACTACGTTATATGGTCATAAATGCTATAGAGAAAAATATAGTAGGAAAGGGAGTGCTGGTGCGGGACTCAAGTTTAAGGGCATTTTCAAAGAAGTCCTCACTGCAAAGGTGACCACTGAGCAAAGATCCTGCAGGGTGAGGAAGCAAGCCATGAAGGTACTCAAGCATGTTCCAGAGAGAACTCTGTGTTGACCCATGGCTACGGGCACAGCCTCAACTGTGCAAGCAAAATGCTTTTTCTGTAAAAGCCCAACTATCACAACACTGACAAATGTATATATTCTAAAGATGATCACCTTCCCCCAAACTCTGGACTAATTCCCTCATGAATACCTTAAGTTGCTACCTGAGACCTAGGCTCAATTAGTAGCAAACTTGATGTTAAAGATGATGTCAGGGAGAGAACCTACATGATGAGGACCTAGAATTTCAGATTCTGGCATATGCAGAGATAGAAATTCACAGCCACATGTAGAGATGGAGTAGACTGGAGACTCCTTCTGAAGTCAGTTCCAAACCAACAAAAACAAACTCACTGCTGTCAAGTCGGTTCTGATTCATAACGACCCCTCCTTGGGTTTCCGAGGCGGTATTTCTAGAGAAGTAGATTACTGAGTCTTCCTTCTGGAAGACAGTTCCAGGAAGGAGCAATTCAGGAGAGGGCTGAGTGGACATAAGGCAACGGAGACGACTGAAGCCCCCCAGTCCATGCCTGCAACGACTACGCTCCACAATCACAGTTCAGAGAGATGCGAAGGGAGTCAATCCTCCAGGGCTTCTGCAGGCTTCAGCTGCCTCCCCTTTCCCACTGTGCAGGTTTGGTCAAAATTCTTCAAGTGAAACTGAACTAACTTCTTACAGCTAAGTGAGTCCTTGGCTGGCTGTGATTAAACAAAAAGTTCTAAAGGATGACACCTAGCACACACAATTATGGTACTGAACACCCTGCCAAAAGCTTCCTCAGGAAAAAAGGTCATGAAAAGATTCCACATGTTTTGATCTAGAAAATACGTAAAGTCTGGGAGAACTGAGGCAAGCGGAGCCACTAGGAGCTGTGAGTCTGGAGTCAGGCTGCCAGGGTGTAAACCGCAGCTTCACTACTTGCTGGGTACGTGCTCCTGGGTATTTGTTAAGGTCAGCGTTTCATTCCGCCTCATCTTTGTAACAGGACAGCAGTATTAATAGGGTTGTTATGAGGAATTAAATGAGCTAATATTTAAAAATGTTTACAACAGGGCCTGACACATATAAATGTTTCTTTCAAACAAAATAAAGATAATGTTCATTGAATCTTAGTTTGGAATACTGTTTCTAAGGACTTACTACTTTCATCTTCATCAAAGAAAAAAGCTGTACTGACATTTACTGGGTAGCCTACTTTTAGACAGAAATGTTTAAAGCAGCATTCTTTCATATAGTTCCAGAAATCCTAAATCTGTCAAGTTTATATCACACTTTTAACTGAATTTCAAAGTGAATTGTGTGAAAAATAGATGACTACAAAAATTATCAAATGGATGCTTTATTAGAGTCATAACACTTATAAAATACATTTCTTTTCAGCATGGAGTAACCAGATTTTGAAACCAACCAACACTTTCTCATTTTTGTAGCTGAGATATATAAAGAAATGCTTAAATGCCATATATATATATATATATATATATTTGTTCAAGTGCTTTTTCACTCAATCCACAAATCTAGAATGCAATTAATCTACAAATCTAAGTATTCACAGTTAGATGGGTGTTAGGCTTGGTTCTTAATGATGCAGAAGCAATCCATTCACAAAAGTGCCACCAAAAGCATTTCAATAAAATCATTTAATTTAATGCCACCAAGCATGGATCTGTTTTTTTCTTGGAAACAAAAATAAAATCTCACAACAAAATCTAGCAGCCCAACTTTAAACAATTCCAACAAGAATGGACTATATATTCTTATGGCACATTTATGACTCTACAATTCCTAATACAGGTTTAGCATGTGGTATGGAGCTACAAATACTGAGAAAGTAGGACATCATACAAAAGACATGACATAAGTATAGTTAGAAGACTGATTTCATCAAGTCACACATGGAAACATATCTTTTGCCTTTAAAATCAGATTACAAATAAAACTATAGCATGATTATCCTCTCTAGTGGATTATTATTATTACAACCAGCATGTGAATCATGCTACTCATTCATGGTTGCTCTATGTTCCATGAAGTCTGACAGCCCAAGTGATTCATGGCACTCTTTGGGGCTGATTTAGCCAAAAAGCAAAGGGTTGAAAGAACACAGCCACCAAAAAGCCCTCTTTTCCACAGGCAGCCATCTTGGGGCCAGGAGCAAGTACTATATGCTTGGACAGCATGGAGGGTGCTAGGACTGACTATCCTGTACTCCCATTCAAGCCACTGGGCACCTTTCTATGACCAGGGTCTTTACAGGTGGGTAAAATGCTACTTTTCTGTATTATTCAGCCAGAGACTGTAATTTTGCCAGTTGCTCTTTTTAAAAATGATTTTTACATATCTGTCACTAATGCAAAGGCAACGTAGGTGTCTAGGCTATCATCAAAATATACAAGAACCTGCAACCTGAAGCAATATTTAATACTCTATTCAAATTTAACTTAGAAAGTCTTGCAAAATAACCAGAAGTAAAAAGTTAACTCTCTAGGAAGTTCTATTTGAAAAAGCTTCACGTATCCACACAAGGGTGTTCGTATATTCATGCACAGGACAAGCAACTGCATACGGAAGCATAAATAAGTCCAAAATAAGACCTAAGGAGCTAGATACCAGTTCCAGTCGTGATTAATGGGCTCTGGGCATTCTGTTTTAAGGGTGCTCAATGACAGCCTTGCTCCACTGTTAGGAGACCATTAGTTTGATTAAGCAACTATGGTTTACTTCACAAATTACTTTTTCCTGTACCTAAGACAATGCTTGAAGTCACTTGAGAAACTACGTGCTCCTCCAAAGATTAACCACTTAACACAAGGCGATGTGATTATTGTGTAATGAAACTATTGTGTTGCTTGTCAAATTGGTTTTGTACCTTTCATGATCAGTTCAATAAAGTATAGAACATATAACTTGGATTTTACATCTGAGGTCAGCAAACTGTGGCCCATAGGCCAGATCCAGCCTACTGCCTGATTCTGAAATAAAGTTTTATTGGATCACAGCTGCACTCATTCGTTTTGTGTTTCTATGGCTGCTTCTGTGCGACAATGGTAGAGTTGCGTCATTGTGACAGAGATGGTATTGGCCTTAAAAGCTTCCCATACTTACCACCTGGCCCTTTAGAGAAAATGCGTGCCAATCCCCGTTACACACAAAGAGATTCAGTGGAATCCTATTTGAGATGTGGTTTAAGAGAGCTTTAGTTACCTATTAAAATTAAGGTACAGGTGACCCAATAACCAAACAGAATGAATAACACTTTTTCATGAAGAGTAATAACTGCCTATTTTAATGATATAAAGAGTATTTTTCTTTAAAAAATAGATGTAGAAATAAAAACTGAGATGAAAGGCTATTTCTCTGTTTAACATCATAATAAAATTAAGATTCTATCCATGAAATGAACCAAAAATTGCACTTAGATTCACTCTTTATATTAAAAAACAAAACAAAACTTTTGTAATGCTGTTATATCTGGACAAAATGGTATCCAAATTGATCAGACATATGAAATATATAAATGAAACGAACACGTGGACAGTTAGTTTCTAAGGAGTGTTACGGTCGCCATCTTCGTAAAGCCAGACCCAAGCTGCAACCATAACAAGCTGTCGTCACGAAGGCAAATATCTAAGAAAAAGAACAAAAACTCACATCAGAGTTATACCACCAAGCAGATCATCATCCTAAGGAACAACTATTTGAAGGCTGACCAACCTGTGTGAAGGTACTGCTACCCTTGTGGAACTGTTTCATCGTCACCCTGTTTGATGACCTGTATTATCGTTTCACCCCTTCTTCTCACAACTTCACACTTTCTTTACACATTCCAGCCTCTAACAATTTCCTCCGTTGTGGACAGGCTTATGTTGAACACTTTTTCACATACTGGGCTCACCTGTTAGTTTTTGTGAACAGCTCAGCCAGTATATTAAAAAACCCAGTCTGAGGTACTGATTCATAGAGTGATGTCACAGCCAATGAAGAAACAACTATCAGCACTTGAGGAGGTATCAAATCATCTTTGTGACAGTAGAAAGTCATTTCCTAGCTGAGCAAAGAAGACCCATAACAATGAGTCATCAGGGTGGCTCTCTCCTTCTTAGGGGAGAGAGCCTCTCAGGCACGAGTCTGTGCTCTGCCCTGTCCCACTGTCCTCGGTATTCAATGAGGAATTCTTTAGCACCAGCTATGTACCCAGCACTACATTTGGTGTATACAAACAAATACAGCTATTGTCCTCACCGTTTTGCGATTTGTGATCCATAGAAAAATATAAGACCGAGCAGTGAGATGTAATGAAATATAATGATTTAGTGTGGGGCTTGTTAACCAGGAAACTACAGCTCTGGGAAGGAATATAAGATTCACCTACAGGAATATACCACAAAACGAATTTCATCTGTATTTTCATTTGTATCATCTAGTGCAATCGTGGGAGCTCTGGTAGCATAGTGGCTAAGACACTTGCCTGCTAACCAGACGGCTGGCGGTTCAAACCCACCAGCCACTCCTCGGAAGGAAGGTTGGGCAATCCTACTTCCGTAGTGATACTGCCTCGGAAACCCAAGGAGGGGTCGCTATGAGTCGGGTTTGACTTGACAGCACATAACAACAACAACAACAACAGTGCAATCGTGGGTATACTAATTCTTTAGCGCTGCTGTAACAGAACTATCACAAATGGACGGCTTTAACAAATAGGAATTTATTTTCTAACAAATTAGTAGGCTAGAAGTCTAAATTCAGAGTGCCACCTCTAGGGGCCGGATGAAGGTCTCCAGACCTTGGGCTTCAGCTCTGCCTTTTGTTCCAGGCCTGCTGGAGCTGGAGATGTCTCCTAACTCAGGCAGCTGCTGGCTGCTGAGGCTTCCGAGTCCAAGGTTGGCAGGTAAAGTGGCACAATTCAAAGACTGATAAGCAACATGGAAGGGCACTGGTTCAAGTCTAGGAACTGGAGATGAAGACTCAGCCAAATGCAGGATTCAGATGTGCCAAAAAGCTAGCAACCTTTCTCAACGCTTCATCATATATATTAGAAGCTGGCCACACCCTGAAGGCAACTCCCCTTCAACTGGTTAGGTGCTCACAGCAGCTTCTACCATGAAGGTGATTACAGTCTTGTTATGGGGAATCATTACATCCAGCTGCCCAGCCGCTCACGGCCCAGCCACCATGGCCCAGCCAAGCTGACACACAACCTTAACCACCACAGCGAGCTTGTCTGCCTCCCCCACTAGACTACACTTTCCTCAATGGCAGATACTGAAAATTATTCACCCGTCTCCAACATCCAGGAAATTACCTGGAAATAAATACTCATTAAATTAAAATTAATTATAAGTAGGTAAAGCATAGTGCCTAAGGCATTTGACTGCTAACCAGAAGGCTGGCAGTTCAAATCCACCAGCCACTCCTCAGAAGGAAGGTTAGGCAATCTACTTCCATAGCGATACTGCCTCGGAAACCTGAGGAGGGGTCACTATGAGTGGCAGGAGGTTTTTTTTTTTTTTTGTATCAAACCATGAAGGACAAAACTAGAAAGGTATTTCCCTTAAAATAACTGAAAAAAAAAGCACAATTCTTTTTACAAACTAGTCTTTGCTGTGCCAGGTCTGACTCCAAAGGCCACTTTCCTCTCTATCAAAATGCCTCCATATTGGCATAGCAATTTACTACACAGGATACTGTACTACCTTTGTAAATGTCCATGTAGCGCGAACAATGTCATCCACAGGAATTGTTGTTATTCTGCCTAGAATAATCTGCTAGGCTCAGTTAACCAGGGGTGAGAACCAAAAGGCACACTGCTAACAATCCTTTCTACTTAACACTCACAATTTGTAGCCTTCAAATCGGCTATGATCCTATATTCATGTCAACCTCTTGGTGCCTATTCATTATCTGCTACACTGAGGGTAATAACAGCACTTTGCTGATAGGTTTTGTACACACAGGGAGTGGCAAGATGTTCATTGCTAATGGCAATAATGGCTGTTGCCCAAGGAGTTTCTGGGAGACCTTGGCAATGGAGGGGGAGCAACAGTATGCTCCTTGAGCTCAGCCCCTGAACACTTACTGTGGCTGCCACGTTTATGTTATACTGGTTGTCAGTCAGAAGTGGCTCTACTGTCAAGGTTGTATTACAATGCAGATCGTGCAGGGATGTGGCTGCTGCTTCCAATAAAAAGGCTCCGAAGTAGAAGACAAACATGGTAAAGTGGTAGGCAAAATCCTGAAAGAGGAGGTGAGAGAAAGATACCTATTAAAAATATTACGATCTTAAATGATAAAGTTTAGGTTCAGGAAGATCAGAACATGTACTCAAACAATCTTAACTTTACATTTTCCATATATATATATATATATATATATTTGGCTGCTTTAGCAATGTCAGGCTATGGAAATCCAAGTGAAAATCAACCAGCTCATCTTCTCTGGCACAGTGACAAAACTTCTTACATACTGAATTTTATAAACACACACACACACACACACACACACCAGACGCCAAGGAGTCAATTCAGACTCATGGTGACCCTGTGCGTATCAGGGCAGAACTGTGCTCCACAGCATCATGGGCTGGTTTTCCCAAAGTGGGTCACCAGGACTCTCTTTGGAGATATCTCCAGCCTTTGGTTAGCAGCTGAACTCACTAACCAGTTGCATAGCCCAGAGACTCCTGAATTTTATAACAAGATGTATAATTTCAGTTTGGATTAAGGTGGCATAGAGGACAATATTAATATAGTATGAAAAAGGAGTAATGCATGCTTTCCTTAAAATTCAAGTAAAAGAGAATTTAAATTACATCTTTTTGTTGTATTTATATATAATGAACACATACACACATTTTTAAATTATTTTATTTTTGAGTAATTATTATTTTTATCCATTAGATTGTCATCCCATATACCAAAAGATACAGGTGGGCTAGTAAGTCATAGAATTAATTGGCATATACTGACAAAAATTCAGTATTCTTTTCCTACAAAATTCAGTTGCTTATTAGGTGAGTTTGTATGCTGCTGGCATTATGTGAAGCATAATTCTGTTAAAATTCATACTGTCTTATCTGAATTAATATATCATTGACACACTGCTGTTTGTGTTAACAATTCCCATATATGAGGCACTTTACATTCATCAATATACAGCCTTACAACCACCATTTATCACCCCCCCTATTTTATGAACAAGTAAATGTCTTCCTCCTTTCCACTTAGGTGACTGTCCCAGAGATGAACTTTTACAGGGCATATTCAAACCCACAGAGGCCTGCCTGGCTCCAAAGTCCATTTTCTTTCCTCTCTATGAAACAACCTCTATGACTGATACAGCAATATTACGATATAGAACGCTGCCTTGTAAATGCCCAGATAACAAGCAATGTTGTCCATTGTTGTTGTTGTTGTTATGTGCCGTCGAGTCGGTCCCGACTCATAGCGACCCCTCCTTGGGTTTCCGAGGCAGTATCACTATGGAAGTAGGATTGCCCAACCTTCCTTCCGAGGAGTGGCTGGTGGGTTGGAACCGCCAGCCTTCTGGTTAGCAGTCAAGTGCTTTAGCAACAACAATTTTAATGTTGTCCATAGGAGTTCTATTATGTCTAGAATAATCTGTTAGGCTGAACTGAACTAACCAGGGGTGAGAACTACATAGGCACACTGCTAACAAAATTCTTTCTACTTAACACTTCTTATTTGTAAACTGAACCAATGCCTTCAAAAATGCTCACATACATAGAGTGGTTATTAACTGATGAAGGTCAAAATCCAAATTCAAATGTCACTACTTTTAGGTGTTAAATGTAATACAGCTGGGTCTCAATTAGCAATCATGATTAAAGGAAAATGTGTTTGGAATCATTAGACATGCATTTAATTTATTGATGTGGACACTCAGAAACACCTTATTTTGTCATTCAAAGAGAATGAAAACCTTTCGTCACGTGGCTTCCAACTCTTGGTATGATCTGGCTGTGGGCTTCCTCACTAGCTTCATCTGATGCTGCCCTCATCCTTTTGAACAACAGCCACTCTGGCCTCAATTTGGTCCCTAAGAACCCTGTGACACAAGAGTTAAGTGCTTGGCTACTAACTGAAAGGTTGGCAGTTCGAACCCACTCAGTGACTCCTTAGGAGAAAGACTTGACAATCTGCTTCCATAAAGATTACCGCTAGGAAACCCTACAGGGCCGCTCTGTTACATGGGTGTCTGTGAGTCACAATCAACTAGATGGCACCTAACAACAACGGGAAGCACTCTATACCTTAAAGCTCACACTATTTACACATGGTGTTATCTCTGAAAAGGCACTTCCCACACCCATTACAGCCTGCACATCCCTCCCTTTGTATTCTTGCCCAATTTTGGTTCCTTCTTTTTTTTTTTTTTACCAAGATTATTGGGACACAATAATAATATTTGTTCTTATTCCCCCTGAGACTATGGGCTTGAGTCACCTCTTGTACCTGGAATTGAACTCGCTCCTGTGGTGTAATTCTCGGCTGAACAACAGACAGTCCTGTGAGCTGAACAACTACTCCAAGGAGATGCACTCCTGAGAACAATCAACCACGGGGGCTCAGAAGGGCAGCATTTGCACGGGGAGAAAGGCAAGGAGACACGAAAGCACAAGCAGGAAGGACACAGGGAAAGGGTGACCACAAGCAGGAAGTGGGAGGAGAGCTGTCACACTGTGGGGACTGTAACCAAGGTCGAAAAACAAAACACGTATGAACTGTTGAGTGCAAAATGAATCTGCTTTGTAAAATCTCACCCAAATCACAATAAAAAGTTTTTAAAAAAATTATTATTACATATGAAAATAGTGGGAGCTCTGGTAGCATAGTGCTTAAGGCACCTGACTGCTAACCAGAAGCCTGGAGGTTCAAACCCACCAGCCACTCCTTGGAAGCAAGGTAGGGCAATCTACTTTCATAGTGATACCACCTCAGAAACCCAAGGAGGGGTCATTATGAGTCAGCTCTGACTCGATGGCACCTAACAACAACAACAACAATGAGAACAGTATTATTAGAATCCACCACTCATCTGTCAGTTTGTTGTACCTGTGTGTTGCTGTGAAGCTGAAGGTTATGCTACCCATATTTCAAGTACCTGCAGAGTCACAGTGGTGGACAGATTTTAGCAGAGCTTCCAGACTAAGACAGATTGGGAAGAAGGAGGGGGCCATCCACTTCTGAAAAACTTGGCCAGTAAAAACCTTATGAACAGCAGGGAAAGGCTGTCTGATTTTTACTGGAAAACTTTACAAATAGCCCTGAAACACTGTCTGATACAGTGCTGTATGAGGAGCCCCTCAAGTTGGAAGTCATTCAAAATATGACTGGGCAAAAGCTGCCTCCTACAAGTAGAGTAGACCTTCATGATGTGTATGGAGTAAAGCTTTTGGGACCTCCATTTGTTGATGGGGCCCAACTCAAAATGGGAAGAAGGAGCTGCAAATATCCATTAATAATCAGAACACAGACTATAAGAAGTAGGAATCTAGGAAAACTGGAAGTTGTCAAAAATGAAATAGAACACATAAAGATCAATATCCTAGGCATTCATGTGCTGAAATGGCCTGGTTTGGGCCATTTTGAATCAGACAATCATATGGTCTACTATGCCAGGAATGACATAGTAATGTAATTCTCTTCAGGAACTAAAGAGGAATGGATTAGCACTCATCATCACAAAGAATGTTTCAATATCTATCCTGAAGTACAATGCTGTTAGTGATAGGATAATATCCATGTGCCTACAAGGAAGACCAGTTAAAACTACTACTATTCAAATTTATGCACCAACCATTAAAGCCAAAGATGAAGAAACTTAAGATTTTTACCATCTTCTACAGTCTGAAATTGAACAAATATACAATTGAGAAATATTAATTATTACTGGTGATTGACGTACAAAAGCTGGAAACAGAAGAATTGTCAGCAGTTGGAATATATGGCCTTGGTGACAGAAATGATGTTGGAGATCACAAGATAGAATTTTGCAAGACCAATGACTTACTCATTGCAAATGCCTTTTTTCAACAACATAAACAGCGGCTATACATGTGAACCTTGGCAGATGAAATACACAGGAATCAGGTGGACTACCTGTATAGAAAGTGGTGATGGAAAAGCTCAATATTTACAGCCAAAACAAGGCCAGGAGCTGTCAGAACAGACCATCAACTGCAACTTCAAGTGGAAGCTGAAGAAAATTAAAACAAGTCCACAAAAGCCATAATATGACCTTGATTATATCTCACCTGAATTTAGAGACCATCTAAAGAACAGATTTGAGACACTGAACGCCAATGACCAAAAACCAGAGGAGTTGTGGGATGATATCAAGAACATCATACATGAAGAAAGTATAAGGTCATTAAAAAAACAGGGAAGGAAGAAAAGACCAAAATGGATGTCAGAAGAGACTCTTGAATGGAGAGTTGGTAAAGCGAATGGAAGAAACAACAAGATAAAAGAGCTGAATAGAAGATTCCAAAAAGCAACCCGAGAAGACAAAGTCAATTGTTATAATGAAATGTGAAAAAATCTGGAGTTAGAAAACCAAAATGGAAGAACATCCTCAGCATTTCTCAAGCTAAAAGAACTAAAGAAAATACTGAAGCCTCGAGCTGCAATACTGAAGGAGTCTATAGGCAAAATATGGAATAATGCAGGAAGCATCAGAAGAAGATGGAAGGAATACACAAAAAAGAATTGGTCAATGTTCATCTAATTCAGGAGGTGGCATATGATCAAGAACCAATGGTATTGAAGGAAGAAGTTGAAGCTGCACTGAAGGAACTGGTGAAAAACAAGGCTCCAGAACTGACAGAATACCCACTGAGATGTTTCAACAAACGATGCCATGCTGGAGGCACTAAAGCATCCATGCCAAGAAATCTGGAAGACAGCTACCTGGCCAACTGACTGGAAGAGATCCATATTTGTACCCATTCCAAAGAAAGGTGATCCCACAGAATGTGGAACTTATCGAACAATATCATTAATATCACATGCAAGTAAAATCTTACTGAAGATAATTCAAAAACGGTTGCATCAGTATATTGACAGGGAATTTCCAGAAATATAAGCTGGATTCAGAAGAGGATGAGGAACGAGGGATAACATTGCTGAAGTCAGATAGATTTTGGCTGAAAACAAAGAACACCAGAAAGATGTTTACTTGTGTTTTACTGACTATGCAAAGGCATTTGATTGT